GACAGAGAAGGAAGCTAGGGAAGAAGGGGGGAGAGATATCACCCCCAGTCTTTCCTGACTCCTCCTGGCTTACAAAATTAACAACCATGCCATTCGCTTTGCATTTATTGAGCACCTACTATGTGCTAGACTCTAGTTATTGGGAATATACCTAGGGAATAAAACACAACCAAACTTCCCCTTCCCCAGGAGCTGACATACATGCATCCTAACAGGGAGAGACAGAGAGAGAACACTAACCAGGTTATCTAAGGGTTAGCTAGATGAAGGACAGGCAGCAGGATAAGGCGGACAATGTGGCCTTAAAAAGAGCAGAAGGGAGTATCTCCTTGCGAAAGTGAATGTGAGCGATACTCAAAGGAGCCTGGGAGAGAAACCCACAGACCACCAGGAGGTCAGGATCACCACTCCTCTCTGCTGGCAGAAAGGATCCTATTGTAACCATAACTTTCTTCAATCAATAATTCCTAAAACAAAAAGGGAGGCATCATTTCCTGATGCCAATCGTTTGAAAAGGAGTAGGGACAGAGCTTTACTTCTTTCCATTATTTCAAGGGTCTAGCAGTGTGTGAGTACTCACTAAATAAATTGAGTCAATTAGCTCATCCATAATGTCCCACTTATTCAACCTATCAGAACCAAAGATACTCCTCATAACTTCCCTAGAAGTACCACACTTGATACAATTCATCATAAACACAATAAATTGGCGGCTTTCTTAAGAGGTAAACTTAACCATTATGTGATCAAAACATGATTTCACTTTTGCATTTTCACTCCAGTTCCTGTCTGTAGGCTTACCTGTTTTCAAATGCACTATTTTGGAGTAGGATTTTTTCCCATTTATTGGGTTGTCATTTTTCTCTGGTATCTAGCTGTTCTTATAATTACCTTTGATAATGGATACAAAGGATCAATTATGCTTGGATTACCAATTTAAGTAAAGTTATTCCCAATGTCCCTCAACTGTAGTACATCAGGTGATAAGTGGGCTCTGTAGCTCAGTGGTTAGAGCACTGGTCTTGTAAACCAGGGGTCGCGAGTTCGATCCTCGCCAGGGCCTCTTGCTGACTTATTCCTTTACTACCTTTTAATCACGCCAATTAAATACTGACAAGACACTGTAAAATGGAAAGTGTGGTTTCTAAACATTACTCTGTAATCCTTAAAAGTTACTCCTGGCCCTCCCTGGTGGCGCAGCGGGTTAAAGCACTGCACTGAGAAGCTGAAGCCACTTCCGCATGAGTTCAAATCCCGCCTGCCCCGGAGGAGACCACATGGCGTGGCAGACCTCTCCTGACCAACCCGCTGCTCCCCTCAGCAGTGTACTTCGTAGATCTGCCTGTTCTGCTCCCTACTCTGTCTCTGGTGAAGCCTCTCACCACCCCTGAGCCTCTGGCCTGTACCCCAGTTCTGTATGTACAAATAAATAAATCTAAAAAAAAAAAAAAAAAGTTACTCCTAAAATGCAAAGGATGAGCATCCTTAATATCTTTTAGAGGTGACCCGGAAGAGAAAATTCTGGAATGCAATAAAGAGCAGGGGAGTAAAAAAAGCCGTTCCCTACGACCCCAGCTCTAACCTGTACCTGTGCGCGGGGCTCTGCAGGCCAGTTTTCAGTGTCCTGCAATCAAACCACCTGAGGGAGCTGGCGGTAAACTTCACCCAAGCGGGCCAGTGCGTCAGAAGGGATCCGGGGAGCCGGCTGCGTGCAGGCGTTGGCGCGCTGGGGGGTGGGCGGGGAGTAGCCAGGGCGCGCAGGGGAGTGGGAGGAGTCGGAGCCGGGAGCGGGCGAGTGGGCGGAGAGTGGAAGATGAGTGGGTGGTGATGGGCAGTAGGAGTGGGCGGGGAAGGGGCGGACAGAGGCGGTGCTTCGCCTTCGCCTGTAGTTGCGCCACGCGGCCAGCGAGTAGCGCTGGACACCTGCTCCTCTCTGCCACGGAGCGGCTCTTGGGCGCCAGGTTTTCTTCCCGGCCCCCTGCCTGGCCGTTGTGGCCAGGACCGGGATCCGCGCTGTGGCTGACACGTGGCAACTCCCGGCTCACCGCCCAGCCCGGCTCCCAGATCCAGCCCCTTCGGGAGGGAGGGAGGGAGAGCGACTCCCCAAAGTAAACAGCCTCAGGCTGCTGGGGAAACTAGAGTTTGCAGCCTTTCTCATTTCTCTGTTTTCCCCAAATTCCAGAAGGCCGCGTGACCCCAGAAGCACTCACGCCAGACTCTCGGAATGCAGGAATTTCCCTCTCGGTATTTCTTTTCTCAGATCTCCGGGCCAGAGCTGGGTAAAGGGCTGTCAGTAAGATAACCACAAGCCCCTTGTGACCCCCGAGAACCCGAAATGAAGCTAATCGGGTTGAGAAGTACCAAAACGGAAAATACACCTCGGATTTGGAAAATGTAGTATCTAAAAGCAAATGTAAAGTAACCCACTAGTAATAGTTGAATAGTTTGCAGATATATTGGATTAGCTAAAACAACTGCATTAATTTTATTTATTTTTTAAATGCACTTACCAGGAAATTGGTACTTAGTAGGAGGCTCCTTGTTGGATGGTGCAAGTTTAGGGAGCCAGAACCCTGCAACCTAGAGTTGAAGTTAATTCTTAACCTGCCTTGGCACCTGGTAATCTGTGGTAGTCAGAGAGTGGGTTCCCAAATCAGTCTAGTGCTGAGCTGGCAGTATGGATGGCCTGGAAGAGAAGGGATTAAGTTTCTTCCTACATCATGCTGACTCCACAAAGTGCACAAAAGAGCGCAAAAGTTTATTTCTTAAATCGAGTTAACTGTGGGTGTGATGCAAATGTAAGACTCCTCAGATGGTAGCTAGAGAAATATACCAACTCTTGGTTGTTTTGCCCTTCTGGCTTCATAAGAATGGTTGCTAAGATGCTTGGAGATATGAAGTGCTCAGAGTTTGAAGAAATAGATTCCCTGATGAAAAAAAAAATCATTATTCCATCTCACAGAAATAATGGTCAGCACCTCACAGATGCTAAAGAGCCCTGTCAGACCCTTAAATGATTTCCTACCCAAACTGCTTACTCCAGGTGACTTGGTCATCAAGGGTTTACTAAGAAAATACTTTGCATTCTACCCCTGGATCCCTCCAGCCATCTCCATTTTCCCTTCTCTCACTGGGCTCTACAAAGCGTGTACACAAGGCTGTTTTTTCTGAACTTTTCATCACTCACTCAAGACTCACAGGAACTTGAATACATTTTGGATTTGCACTGACCTAAGTGATTGTTCTCTCATAGTACCAGCCCCTTGGAGAAAGCTTACATGGGGTCACCAACTGTCTTCCAGAAAACAGCCACTTTGCCAGGAAGGCAACCCTGTCTCCACCCCAGCCTCCCAGCATTTCAAGGGTACCATTCACTTTCCTAGACCACTAGGTTCCTACTATATTTCTCTGTTCAGAACATCTGAATTTGAGGATTTCTTCCATAACTCAAAGCACTTCCAAGCCAGACCCTCTTTATACCACATTATCTTTGAAGAAAGATTGAATTAGGCAAAAGAGGTAGAATGAGCTGACATGATTTGATCCAGAGACTAGATCCAATTTCCCAGAACTGACCTCTGATTTTCAACCATCTTTCAATAAAATGATCCAGGGTATAATCCTGTCCACCTTTATGTTGATATCTTCATTTGGGAAGAAGCTCAAAGTGTAAAATATAGGGGTTGGCCAGGTCCATTCCAAAGGCTTCCTTTTAGTCACAAAGGTAAACCAAAAACCATGAGAAAAGACAGAGGAAGAAGACCAAAAGGTGATCCAAAAAATGGCCTTCAGGAAATGACCAGTATTTTGCAGAAAGAGACCAGAGCAGTTGTGTTGTTTTTAGATTAGGTTTAGGTAACATGGAGACTCTGCTGGAGAAAACAGTGGAACCTGCTTTGGAAGTCTAAATTAATCTGTCCAGTGTTTGTCCCCATCCCAAGGCCACATGACCTCTCAAATTCCCACTAGACCTGGTAATTCATGCTTTTGTTCTTAAATCAACTTGCCTCCACTATTTGGATTTGGAGAACTTCACAAAGACATGTTCACATCCTCTCTTAGCTTTTTTATTCCTCACAGTCTTGGTTAAAAGCCACCAGCCCTTACTCTGCCTCTCCCGGGAGGCACTAAGATGAGTTGGTTCAAGCCTAGTGGAAAGGCTCCCTGTTCCCTCTGGAACAAGTCTCCCTTGCTGCCTGCTGGAGCAATCACTTGATCTCAGAGGACTCACTGTCCTCTTCAATGTCCTTACAACAGCACATAAGAGGCAAGGTTTGCAGGCCTCAGGTAATGAATATAAACTTGACATAAAATCAGCACTCAACATGTGATATGTTTCAGGTGATGTACATAAACTTGGTTCATAATAAGAAAGCAAAACGTAAACGATGTCATGTAAGACAAGACTCAGGCCTAGGAGTGCAGAGCAACCCTGATCTAGTCCTGGAAAAGGAAAAAGCCACTTGAGAGAGCTTTCTTTGGAAACCTGTCCCTACCTGACTCTTCTTAGACCAGGGATAAGGCACAGGAGAGAAATATAGTTCTTAGGCAAAGTTTGGGGAAGCAGCCAGATTTCCTCATGCCAGATAAACATCCAGAGATCAAAGGTATTTGAGCAACTGTTGATTTATTGCCTTAAATCTCAGGCATTTGCAAAACGAAGGATACATATAGTAGGAGTCCAAGCAGGTTTGCAGATCAGTGGGCAGCATGAGCTGAGTGCACTGGCAACTTGGCTGCACCCTCCTGCACCCATCCTCTTCCCCCACCCTCTAGCAGAAGCATACAGGGCACATCCAAAACAATGACGTTCCCTGTGGGAAGAATTAGCAAACCAGCTCCAGTCAGGTTCTCTCCTTCTGTGACAACCACCACCAGGCCTTCCTGTACTTCTAGGGCCCAAGTTCAGCAGCAGCAGCCTCAAGACGGGGTGATTCTTCTCTCCTGTGCCTCCTGATCGGCCAGTTGGACAGAATAGGCTGATAGAGAATCCGGCCAGCTCACCCCTGGTGGGTGGCCTGGCTCCTCTGGCTGCTCTGGGTTTTCAGGGTCTTCTTCCTCTGGCCCTGGGGGACCGGGGACCATGCCCTGGTCATCACACCTGGACCTCGAAATCTTCTCCTGCTGCTTGTGGGAGAAGCTGACCTCCTTGAGGAGCCCGTCTGAGACCCGGCTGGGTATGGACTGGAAGCCAGAGTTGTGTTGGAGAATCTACTGGCTGCTCTCTCGGATTGTTTCTTTAGCACGTCCAAGACTGTCTCTGGGAAATAAGTTTATCTTGTGAGAAATAAACTGCAAAATACTAGAAGGGAAGCATCATCTAGGAAACTTATGACTGCAGAGGTGTGCTGGGTGGGGCGGACATTCTTTAACATACATTCTTTTGAAATTAACTGCTCTAAATTTCTTGAACTAGCCTAGTCTTTTAATACTGTTACTCCAGGGCATGGCTCTGGAGGGATTCCCTGAAGATATTATCCTTCATCAAGTTTCTGACCCTCCACCCTGACCCTCCACCCACCCCCAGGAAGAAGTCTCCACTCTCTGGGCCCTCTCAGTCCCCTGGATAGTCTGTTATAGCAGAATCTCATTATTTATTTTTCTGTTTGCCTGCACCAGCCACCCCCTCCCGTTTGACTCTGAACTCCTACAGGTTAGGTTAACACTTGGCCCCCAGGACTAAGTACAGTGCCTGATACAAAATAGTGTCAAATAAATGAATACAGACAACAGTTCACTGGAAATGAATTGGCTCCACACACTCTGGCACGTAGGCTGAGCACCCTCACCCTTGCAGAGGGCACCTGCTGGCCCCTGGACTGGTGACCAAAGCCCTGAGCTTAAGACAAAGATGTACTCACTGGCAAGTGGCCTGAACTGGACCCGCTTACTCTTGATTTTCACAGGTGCTGCTTTGTGTCTGCACTTGCCTGGGGGTGCTCTCCTGAAAACAGAGAAGATGCAAGTCTCCAAGGCTACCAGGAAATTAAGGTCCCTGGAAGGCACTCCTTTACATGAATTGGGTTCAGACTCCCTTGTCTGGGGGGAAGGAACAGGTGCAGCAGGAAATATGCCACATGCAGTGAGAACAGGTGGGGTAAAGGATGAGTCTTGGTACACAGAGCAGTGAGGGGGCCAGGGTGTGAACTGGGTCCAAGTCCTGGGGGCAGCAGGCAAGTAAATGTTGCTAAGTCTCTATTCCACAGCTGTAAAACAAAAAAAGTAATAGGACCCATCCTCTAAGGGAAATGGGAGGATTAAATAAGAGCTGTGTACCTGGCACATGGTAAATGATATGTCACTTTAAAAGATTTTTATTTAGATGGGATTAAGAGAACCACTTAGAACAGTTCTAGCACATAACAAATATTCAATAGATGGTGATGGTGTTGGTGATGATGATGGTAATGATGACGTTTATGGTGGTAGTAGTGGTGGTAATTTCCTTTAAAGAAAATCCCTCCAAGAACTCATAGCAGACCCACTGGGTAAATCCAGCCTCTGTGTCTACGCTACACTAATCATTCCACTGAAATTATCCCCTGGTGCATCTAGTGACATAAAAGGGACATTAGAGATAGGAACACCATCACCCCTAACTCAGGTGGAAAAAGCAATTGGTTTTAACAAACACTTAGGTAGTACTTGCATGTTTCTAATGTTTTATAAATATAACTCACTGAATCCTCACAAATCACACTATGAAGTAAGTACAGAGGGTAAAATAAAGTACACAGAGGTTAAGAAATATGCACAAAGACACCCAGCTAGTAAGCAGCAAAGTCAAGGTTCAAACCCCGGCTCCAGACTTAAAAGAAAGAGTAGGAGGAAAGATGGAAGGAGGTACAGAAATCACACACAAGTAAATCAGCTGCTCCCGAAAGCTGGTGTGGGCACTCAGTGTAAAAATGGCTAAGTAAGTAGAGCAGAAGCTGAATGGACCCAGGGCAGCAGAAGCTATACAGCATGTCTGTGCAAGTCCATGTAATCAGAACTGAATGAATGGGTGGGACTAAAATGACTTTGATCCACTGCAAGAAACGAGTTCCAGTCTTCAGCCCTCATCACTCACCGTTCCGTGGGCAAGTCATATAACTTTGCAAGGCTCTGTGGGTGTTTGAGGGTGTTGACCTGCCTCCTGGGGCTGGGTCATCATTGACTGAGGGTGGGCGGTAATTACTCATCAATATCCGCTGAGATAAAGGGGAATGAACAAGAATGTCTTATCTGTGGCTCATGCTTGACAGATGCTTTGCTTGACCACTCATGACTGCCCAGGGGATAAAAGGGGGGAAAATTATTCCCAACCAAAAAAAGAAGGAGAAAAGAAGTTCACAGGGACATCGTTGGTGCAAAGAGCAGAACAAAGTAGGTAATATATACCCCCTAAGGAAGGTTTCCTCTGCCATTGTCTCTGGAGCTGGTTCATGGGAGATTCTTGCTTTGGATGAAAGTCCTAAGATCAATGCAGCGCCCTCTTGGTGCAGGTATAACACCACACACCAAGCACCTCTCAGGCAGAAAACTATGTTGTGGTCTCTGCCTGCTTAGCCTCTGAGAAAGGTGGGCAGTGAGCAGATGTAAACAGTAAACAATATGGGCTCCACTGAGGGGATCCCCTGTTCAGGGGATGCTACTGAAATCCAGAAAGGGTTAGCTGGAGATCCTGAGAAACCTGGTGATGAAAATTTGCCAAAGGACTTGAGACGTCACCCAGGCCCAGAGGTCAGGGCAGCATTACTTACTCCAGTGTTTGGAAGGGCACTCATAGCCACATTACCTCAGACAAGTTTCCAGAAGCAGATTATCAGGAGTGGCAGAGGGAAAGAGAGAGGAGGATAAAACCAGAAACCACAGGCCTATGCTAGTTACTCTGAAAAGGCTCGAAATCCTCATTTCCAATGCAGAAACCATGTTCCAAACACCCATAATTCCTACAGACATGTTGCTCTAAATGATGAGTCTGTTTCTCATCCAGAGCATGGATTCACTTCATTGAGGACTTAGTAATTGCTGGGAAGTGAGGACATGCCATAAGATAAGGACTAATGAAAATCACCTGATAGGAAAAAGAGGCTGGACCTCACCTTGATGGGTCAACCAATTTGTAAATAGATCCCTGTGGGGCATAGGCACTAGGGTAAGAGGTGGCCAGGAAGTAGAGCTCCCCTGAGGAACAAGAAAAGTTTGTTAGCTTGGGAGGGGCAAAGACACACAGAGCTGGATGTACTTCCCCTCTGGTTACTCTTGACCCATGGTAACCTTGGCCATGCCACAGAACTCCCATTGTATTTTAGGAAGAAAAAAAAAAAAAAAACCCCAGAATACATCAAGTCATATATCAAGTAAAAAAAATATTACCCAAAAGTAAAATGTAAATGTGCTGTCACCATTATTATCTCAACTGGTCTTCCTAAGATTGTGCTAACTAACTGGTCTTCCTAAGATTCCAAGCCCAGCCATGGACAGCGCTCATTCCAAGGTGATTTATTTACACTATAAAAACTCAAGGGAGAAACTATAGCAACAGGTGGGGCAGTGCTATGGGTGAGCTGAAAATGACTTAAAGCTTGAAACTGGGGAGAGGAGGGAGGACAGCAAAGGGGAGAAGGGCCCAATGGAGTCTGGATCCCTTGGTGGCAGGGGTGCTGTAGGGACAGACCACTGAAGAAGTGCGAGCTACACCTCTGAGCCATACATAGTGTTATGCACCAGTGTTCCCTGAAGAAAAAAATTATATAATCCTTAAAAAAGAAAATAAAACTGTGACTGGTCATAGCATAATGAACTAAGACTCAGGCCCATGGCAACAGCAGAACATCTGAATCACTGCACAAAAACATAAAGCAAGCAACTCTGTAGGAAAAGAACTTGCTCTGTGGCTTGGGGTCACCTCGGCAAGTCCTCAGCCTCAAATCTAGCCAAGGGCACATTTTGTCTGCCAGATGCACTGGCTGTTCTTCAAAAACCACCTGTTTTCTCCAGCTTGATGTCACTGGACACAGCAGCCCAAACTTCCCAAGCTGTGGCTTCTGTGGCCTCTGAAACCGAACAAACCACAGAAGGCAGCAGCAGGGGGTCCCTTAGCAGCCTCTGAGGGTTCAGCCTTGGGGTAGGGGCCCAGCCTGGGAAGATACCCTAGCCACTGGGGCACCAGGAGCTAAGATACCCTAGCCTTGGGGACTCCTGAGGGGAGAGGACCCACCATAGTCTGTGGCCATCACATCCTCAGCTTTCCACTAAGCAACACCCTGCCAGGATGTGGTTTCTCTACCGCTTTATGATTGGTCTCCCATGTAGATTTTGGACCCATGTAGACTTTTCTTTGTTAAGAATGCGTAGATTTTCAAAATAGCCTCAGCTCCTCCAAAACACTGGGGCTCTCGGGCACAGGCTTGGCGAGGCAAAGCTCAGGCACTGGCTGGACCGCTTTATGCCTCGCTCTAGTAGAGGTCCCTGGACAGCAACCCCATGGCTTGGAGTGAAAAAAAGCCAAGTCCAGGGTCGTGGCTTACACTGTGGGGAATCCTGATCCAGAAGGGGCCCTGAAAGACTTTTGGAGTCTCTCCCTTGTCTCGAAGCATGACTAGATTCTGCACCAAATACCAAGATTGCACGTACTGACCTGGCTTTCACAGAACCAAAACAAAATTCATCTTTTGAAAGGAAGCATAACGAATGTAAAAATGAAATTAAAATCCATTTTCAGAACTCAGTGTGGATGGCAGAGCCTTAACCTTGGCCGACTGAATTCCTAGCATGTGACTTGTTTTCTACTTTCCCACTCAGGAAGACAAAAGGCTGAGGGGTAGATGCATGTGGAACAGAAGCCATTGCTTGTCCCTAAAGCTTTTTTAAAAATGTATTTATTTATTTACTTTTTATGTCACTCTTTGTTTTTTTTGTTATTATTCAGTGCTTGTGTAAAACCACCTTTGAAACCACAGCAATCAAATTTGAAGACAACTGAATTTTCCATTCATCTCTTTTGGGGAAAACTCAGTAAGTAGAGCTTAACATAATCACATTCCATAAGCTGCCTTTTCATTGTCAGACCATTGCTTAATTTTAAGTGTGTGTTAATATTTTTAATTTCCATTATAAAATTTAGGGAACTATATTATAGCCAAGTAAGCCTCTCTCCTGTAGCTGTGTGTGCCTGCCTTACTCTGCAGAAGGCCCGACCACAAGCTTCATCCTCTAATGATGTTGTGCCCACCTAGCTGCCAGCTGGTTGCCCTTTTCTCAGCTCTCTCAGGAAAGACAACTCCGTCCCTCCTCCACAGCAGTGACCCCACAAACTCTGGACAGGGCCAGCAAGACAGGCAAGAAGCTGACTGCCACAAGGCTTCTACCGCCCAGGCAGCCACAGGGGCTGACAACCCCCGTCCCATTGTATGCCTCTGATAGCAGATTTTAGTAAAGCCAGGTTGCAAGGAGCACACAAGCCTCCTTTATAGGCAAAGGACTGAGAAGACGCAAGTGTAGACCTCCATTTGTCCCACTCAGTGAAGTGTACAGGAGGGCAAGGTTGGCATGTTCATTCTCCCTCTTCGCTGGTGAAATGGGTATAGTAATTTCCTCGTGTGGTGTTGAAATTATTAAATACATTTGAAAATATAATGTGGCCAGGGCCAGGGCCCTCCCTGGTGGTGCAGTGGGTTAAGACGAAGCACTGCAAGCCAACCACATCACTTTAGCACCAGTTGGATCCCCACAGGGGTTGGGGGTGGTGGGGGTGGTGAGGGGAGTGAGTCACATGGCTAGGCAGACCTCTCCTGACCCACCTGCTGCTCCCCTCAGCAGTGTACTTGGTCTGTCTGACTGTTCTGCTCCCCACTCTGTCTCTGGTGAATCCCCTCACTGCCTCTGCACCTCTGACCTGTACCTTAGTTCTGTATGCATAAATAAATACATCTTAAAAATAAAAAAATGTCTTTAAAAAAATGGAATGTGCTGAGACCAATACCCACCCGGCACTTTAGGAAAGGGAAAGAAATTATAGTGAAAATCGTAGATGTGGCAGTTATTAGTTAAGTAATAATAATAGCAATAATAATAATGTTGACATCACACCTGTGTCTATGCTTCTCTAAGTTCCACTAGGCAGAATGAGAATAACCTGGAACACATGTTACCTGCTTCGTCTTCTGCAAAGGAGATGACAAACTTGCTGTAGGTGCTAATCAGCCCTGGGAAGGCACATGACCTGGTATTGCCCACACAAATGTCCTGCTTCATCCATTTCTTGGTTTTCCTATCTTCCTGCAAAGCCATAAGTCGACTAGATGAAAAACAAAACCTTATATTACAGGAATCCAATTTTCCACCCTGCCAGATAGTCTTCCTCCTAGAATCAAGGAATTTTTAAGCACTAGAGTTGCCCATGAATCAAAAAGTTGGTCTGAGAAAATTCAGTCACCCCTTTGTCACAGAGAGGGAAGTTGCTTTTCTGTAATAAAATGAATTTGATTCTCTATAAGATTGCACCCGATAAAAGACAAGTCTAATTTTAATTAGCTGTGTGGCCCTTGGTTAGTTGCCAAAATTTTCTAAGTCTCAGTTTCATCCTGTGTAAGTGGAGAATAGTAATAGAACTGACCATAGACAAGCACTGCAAAGGTTAAATGTAATTGGTACAAAGATATTCTAAACTACTACCCACTAGCCCTTTATAAATATAGATGCAAAAATTCTAAATGACATGACAGAAAATAAAATTAGTATAGTAAAAGGAAAATAGATTCTGACCCAGTGTTTATCCTAGAAAGGTAAAATTACTTCAATATTTTTTTAAAAAATAAATGCAATTCATAGTGTTAACAAACTAACCATAAACACACACACACACAATTCACTCTGTAGGTGCAAAGATGCATTGTACAAAACACCATATCCATACCTAATCCAAACTCCCAGCCAGCTAGCACTAGGAGAAAACCTCCTCAACCTGTTAGGAAATGTGCAGGCACCTACTGCTCACTTCACCCTGCTGGAAAGGGATTGAGCAGTTGCTCCCGCTTCTGTCCAACCCTGTACTAATGATTTAAGCTGAAGCAAGAGATTATTAAGAAAATAAGCCTCCAATGGAGGAAAAGAAGTAAAAACATATTCATAGACAAAATTACCTACTAGGTTGCCCAATGTAAGCTCAAAATATACATATAGTTCCATGTTATCAATTTAAAATTGAAATTTAACAAAATGACTCTGATGATTGTTTCATACACTATGAAACAGTACATCTCACAAACACTATGAAACACTTAACCACACAACACCGCTACCCTAAATACTTTGTACCTTACAATACTTTGTAGCAGTCTTAGTCACAGTATCCCAACTGGGGACAAATTGTCCCTCCATAAAATATATTAATAAATTGTGGTAGCAAGTAAACATTACAAAATAATAAAAGAGACAGACTACTATTACATGCAATCCTCTTGATGAATGTCACAGTTATAAACGAGAGAAGTCACACACACACACACACGTCTATGTAGAATCTCATTAATGTGTAGTTCAGAAGTAAAACCAATCTGTGATGTGAGTGGTTATCTCTGCTGGCACGTATGTGCATGTGTGAAAGGCATGATAATGAGAGGCAATAGGCCAGAAAAATCCTACCAGATCAATGGAAATGTGGACCTCTTGATATGGCCAGTGGCAAAACAAGCATGAACATTTGTAAGATTTATCTACCTGTGCTCTTAAGCGATTGCATTTCATCACATGCAATTTAACCTTAAATAGAAATATTCAAAAAAAAAAAAAAAAAGGAGAGAGGGAACATCAAACCTTCTTTACCCACTCATGAAGTCCCCAAAGATATAAAGTCCGTTGAGATTCGGGGATTCACACCCACGGTAGACATATCCTCCAGTTACGGATTTTCCCACTTCATGGCCATAGGCATAGATGGGCAGGGTGTCGTCTGTCCAGGAACAAGAGAAGAAATTAGTATGATGGCTAAAAACTGAGAGCTTTGCAGAGGAAGAAGAGAACTTGTATTTTTATCATTTTTGCTTTGATTAGGAGCAGCAGGCACATTGTAAGTGCCTCAGGCTGCTGAGCAAAGGCAATTGCAGAAATAGATTCAGTGGAACAGGCTTCCAGGGGATTTGGTAGTGATCACCTAAGGACATCATGTAAGGACAGATTTTACATGTTTGCTCTGAAAACTCCTCCTTCTCCCTGAAGATGCATAATATTTTCTAAGAAGGAGGCATTAATGTAGCTGCCCAGTGGTGTGGAGAGGACATCATCTCTTGGTTTTGCAGCTGAGTGCATCCTGGACTAGAGACCAGCCATGATCACAATGAACTTCCTGTCTGACTGCCCTTGAAAGCAGAGAGGAAGCTGAAAGTAAAGCTGAACTAGTAACCCAGAAAACCACAACGCCAAGTTTCCCTCTAGGTTGACATGACAAATACTCAGGTTTAAGAATCTGGAAAATAGAATTAGCACAATTTTTACTTAACTTGGTTGATAGTTATAAAACAATATAAAATGAATGTATTTCCTCAGGTAACTTGGTTTTTGTTCAAGTTCCACTGGGATTTTTGTTTGTTGGGTTTCCTCCTCATCAATGTTATAACAAAATGACAATGAAACAAAAGACATTATACAAGGATGTGTGTATGTTGGCATATGAGGCTCGGTAAGACCAATTACAACTCAGGATCAAGGACAAAATAGATCAAGCAAGAGTGATAAGATACACCCAAAGCAAATCTTGATATGATGTTTAAGAACTGTACTATTACTCGACTGGAGAAGGAATATCATTTCAGTGGCCTGTGCCAGTTGGAACGTAAATTAAAACACAGGACCACCCGGTTTTTCTCTTCCAGTGGTTCCAAAAATGCTTCCTAAAAGTCATATTGGTAGCTTATTTAAAATATAGACTCCTAGATCAGCGCCACTTCTCCCTTCTCTAACCAAGACTCAAGGTCACAAGGTCAACAATCTTCAGGGCATGTGTGGTGCCAGTGGCTTCAGAGTTATTCAAAGCATTTCCCATGAACGGAGAGATACAGGACACCTGCTGCAGGTCTTGCCTCCCCACTCTCACCCCAATTCTCTGACTCACTCATGAAACCACCGAGAGAGATTTACTTACCCAAAGATGTGTTGTGACAAAGTTTTCTGTCATAACATCCAAATCCTTCCTTTGCCCTCCAGCCATAGTTCCCACCCTTAACAATGATGTCGATTTCTTCAAATCTGTTCTGTCCCACATCCCCACAGAATATCCGGCCCCGGCCATGGTGTGTGACGGGGTCCCCTCGGTCCACGGCACAGCGCCACATGTTCCTGATCCCATAAGCATAAACGGCAGGGTGAGCCCCGGGCTCAGAAGCAAAGGGGTTGTCAGGGGGCACTCGGTACCGCCTACCCTCTGAGCCACTGTTCACATCGATCCTTAACACCTTTCCCAGCAAGGAACTTCTGAAAGAAAGAAGGTCAAGAAGCACACATAGGAGAAACCTCAGAAGTGGGATTGCAGGATCATGCAGTAGCTCTAGCTTTGGTCTTTGGAAGAATCTCTATGCAGTTTTCCAAAGAAGCAGCACTATTTTGCTCTCCCTCCAATGACATAAAAGGACTCAAATTTCTCCACATCCTGTCAACATTTATTATCTTTTGTTATCTTGATAATAGTCATTTGAACTGATATGAGGTGGTATCTTACTGAGATTTCTACTGGCACTGGCCTGCTGCTAGTGACATGTAGGTGCTCTGGCCACTTAGATGCAAGATGATTGAATGAGCCCCAGCAATGGGCTATAAGGCACTTTCCTAGCATGAGCAACAGTGCAGTGTGTACACTAAGAAAGTTAAGTATCTCACGTTAAGTATTCTTACATGAATAAAATAAAATGAATTTTAAAATAGGCATAGGAGCAGAGGAGACTGTGAAGGAAACCTATTGATAACTAAGAGCACAAAACTACTGGGAATGCTACAGGGAAATATAACTGGACAGAGAGATACAGATTACACACAGAAACACAAACACGCACACCAGGTTAAGACTTCTCAATTTTTGTCTCAAAGAGCTAACGTTTGATGTGGTCCTGAGCAAATTTTAGCTTTAAGATTTTATTTTTATCAGAGGTTTGGCCTAAAGCCATGAATTTTTAAAGGAAGAGGAAGCTTCTATTCTTCTTCACATAGCAGCGTGGCCAGTAGAAGGAGCAGAGTCTTTTGAGAGGCTTTGCTAATTGCTGTGGTCTCTGGGCCTCAGTTGTAAGTCAGAGTGACACTCCCTTGCAGTGTACTTGTGCTATAGGAGTCAGTGGGTGTTTGTGAGAGAGAAGGTTATGCAGTTTCTGACACACATTTGGCACTTGACAAATATTAGTTCTTTATTATTACTAACTTTAATATATTTGTCATTAGGGGAAATGAGAGCCAGATGTTTGCTGGGTGCAAAGGACAGGAGGGTCATGGAACTTTCATTTAACTAACCCCATCACTGGGCTTTCACACCAGGTAGTTCGAGTTTGAATTATTTTCTCTACTTCCTTGCTGTATGAACTTGGGCAGAGTGTTTACCTCCTCTCTGTCTCTATCTTGTCTGTAGATGGTTGTCATTATATACCTGCCATTCCCAGGGTTCTTTCATTCATAAGCATTTATGGAATCACTCCATTGTGCCAGGCACTGTCCTACATGCTACAGATATATCAATTAACAAAATAGATTTTAAAAAATTTTTCAACAAGGGATTAATATTAAAATTATATGTAGGAGTCATTCAACTCAACAACAGTAACAACCAACCATTCACAAAGTGGGCAGAAGACCTGACTAGACACTTCTCTAAAGGTAACACAAAGATGATCAATGAGCACATGAAAATATACTCACCTCCACTTATTATTAGGAAAGTGCAAACCAAAACCATAATGAGAAATGAGCACACACCCATGAGAATCGAGTTTGTCATAAAGATTGCAAACAAGTGCAGGTGAGGATGTGAAGAAAAATGTTGTGTATATATACATAAGGGACTACCACACACCCATCAAAAAGAAGGAACTTGCTTTCTGCAACAGTTTGGATAAACTTGAAGTGATTATGCTAAGCAAAATACATCAGAAAGTGAAAAACAATAACCAGCTGTTTTCTTTCATGTGTGTAATATAAATAACCAAAGCAAATGAGTGAATAATATACAATAAAAATAACTCTTAGATTCTGGAAAATATGGTGGGAAGATAAAAGGGTAGAAGAAAAAGGTAGAGGAGTCAACTTGATAGTGGGAATGGTACTAGAACTTGGTTGGTGCAGTAAGGTATATCCACAAATAGAGGTGGGAAGCTATGCTTAAAGTGTCTTTAAATAACAAAATAAAAAGATTCTTGCTCTTGTTGTTGTCAGAATTACATTTTCTCTCAGAATTACATTTTCAAACACACTTAAGATATTTAAAATAGCACCTGACACATAGGAGGTACCAGGGCACACTGGCGTATTAACTGACTTCTCACATATCCTCGGTGCCTAAACACAGTGCCCAGGAATATTGCTGAGTTAATCTGAATTGCCTGATCAGATCTTGGTGTGAGCAATTGTGACCTGCTAATATGATTGAAAACTTTGACTTTATCTCTACACAGCACTCTGAAATTTATACTGAGTACCAATAATACTAATTACCAAAATGCACTATGCCTGAAATTTATAGGACAGGAAACCAAATATCCCCTCCCAGATGCCTCAGTGGAGCAGACTAATCTTGAAGTAGGTGATTTGGCATTGACCCTCTAGAGTCTCTATTGAAACAAAAACATTTCACCAGGGACTCACCCTCCAGACAGGGCCCCACCTCCATCCAGCTTACTTGTTCTGAGCATTTCCAAACATGCCAAAGGGATCCCCAGCCTGTCCACCATCCCCTGTGAATATGTACATGTAACCATCCAGGCCAAAAAGAAGCTGCCCACCATTATGATTTGAGGCTGGTTCATCTATCTCCAAGATGATCCTGGAAGGAAAAAGAAGCCATGAACTAGCCATGACCATAAGTTGAAAACACATCCTCCACCACCAGCACCTGCTTCAGAGCTTCCAAGGAAAGCAGCAGCATCATTAGTTAGCAAAACGGCAAAACAGCAAAACCATAAAGCAGGTTTGGGGCTCTGGAACACTAGTTTCCTTTATGACTCTTTGCTGGGTCATTTTTCTTTCATATGACAGCTTCATGAGCTGTGGACATGGTTAGGGAAACAATCATCTTAGCCTTACTCATAAGTGACCTAAAACCTGGATGTAAGACCTGAAACTATAAAAGTCCTGTAAGAAAATGGACAGTAAGCTCCTCGACAGTGATCTTGGCAATGAGGCTTTAATCTGACAACCTATTTATTCAAGGCAATGAGAACAAAAATGAACAAGCAGAATTACATCAAACTAAAATAATTCTGCACAGCAAAGAAAACCACTCACAAAATGAAAAGGCAACCTATTGGATGGGAGAAAATATTGGCAAAACTTATATCTGATGCCTTTAATGTCTAGAGTACAGAAAGAATGCATACAATTGAAAAGCAAAAAAAAATCTGATTAAAAAATTGGGCAAAGGATCTGAGTAGATGTTTTTCAATGAAGAAATGCAACTTACAAACACGTACAGGGAAAGATATTGCACATCACTAGTCATTAAAACCACACTGAGGTGTCACCTTACAGCTATTAGAATAACGATTATTGACACTGCAAGAAATAGCAATGATGGCAAAGATGCGGAGAAAAGGGAAACTTTGTGCATTGCTGGGAATGTAAATTGATGCAGCCACTATGGAAAACAGTATGAAGATTCTATTTAAAAATAGAACTGCCATGTAATCTTGCAATCTGTGCTGGGTGTTTATCTGAAGGATTTAAGACACAAATTGTAAAGAGATATGTGTCCCCTCATTTTCCCTTAATGTTGTTTATAATAAGACAAGGAAGCAACCTAAGTGTCCATTAATGGATAGAGGCATAAAGAAAATTTTACGTACTCACACATCCAATTCTGAAATTATACATGAAAAATGTAATGGATTATATATACACAAGAAACACACACGCATATATTTTGTGTGTGTATACATATATTCAATGGGTTACTAGTCATAAAAAGAAAAAAATATTGCCATTTGGACAACATGAAAAGATTCTGAGAGCAATTTGTTAAGCGAAACAAGTCAGGCAAAAAAAATGTAAATATCATATAATCTCACATATGGAATAGAAAAAAACAAAATCCAAAATAGATACAGAAAAGTTTCCCTTTTTTCCACATCTTTGCCATCGTTGCTATTTCTTGCCTTATTGATAGTTGTTATTCTAACATCTGTAAGGTGACATCTTGTGGTTTTGATGACTAGTGACAGGCCATATCTTTTCTTGTACCTGTTTGTCAACTGCATTTCTTCATTAGAAAAATATCTCCCCAGACCCTCTGCATAGAGAGTGTGTGTGTGTATGGTGGGTGAAGGTGGTCAAAAGGTACAGACTGCAGTTATGGAACACAGTTACAGTACATGGAGATGTGGATACAGTGTGGTGACCACCATTAACATCACTGTATTGTATGTTGAAAGGTGTTAAGAGAGTAGATCTTCAAAGTTCTCATCAAAAGCAGAAAGTGTAACTAGATGAGGTGTGAATGTTCATCAGGCTCAGGATGGTCATTTTACAATACATTCAACTGTGAAATCATTTTGTGGTACACTTGAAAGATATAGTGTTATATGTCAATTAACATTGTTTTTAAGAGTCTAAGTTAGGGGTCTCCTCACCAGTCACCAATACTTCATTCCTTGATGTCAACATTAGCCATTAGGAGCACCAACAGAGATCTTTGCCCTGTGCCATCTCAGAGAACTGATCAACATTATTTGGGGGCACAGAACAGAGCTGTAATTTCTCATGGGTCTGTCTCACCTCTCTGATTTGGGATCAGCTTTGTTGGGATCAGCCTGAGAAACCTTCATCTCACTGATCCGGATCTTCTCCACCTTCTTCTTGCCCAGGCATGAGTAATAAATATAGAACTTGCGATTGTGGCGGAATTTGGGGTGAAAAGCCAACCCCAAGAAGCCTCTCTCATCACCAACCCATGGAGTGGTCAGCACGATGTTCTTGAGGTCCAGGAAGGGCTGTTCCAGGCGACTCCCATCAGGCAGGTAGACCCACACCATCCCCACCTGCTCAGCCACAAAGAATCTGTGGGTGCCATCCCCTGCATGAACCATGGAAACGGGGTTCCTCAACCCATTGGCCACCTCTGTGAGACACAGCTGTAAGCAGCCCTGCTGGTCCTTGGCCACCACACCCAGGTTACGGTTCAGGTGGTTATTCCTGAGGACATTAGGGAAACAGTAGTCCTTGTCAGGAAGGTTGAGGAGGTGGCAGAACTGGGCACCATCCTTTTCCTGGGTTGACTGGAGACGATGGTCATTGGTCAGCAAGGAGATGGCAGACTGACAGCTGGAGTGGAAGGCAGAGCAGTAGTCTGAGCAGAGGCCAGGAAGGCTCCGGAGCGGAGTCTGGAGGTTCTCTGCATCGTACAGGTGGGCTGCATAGGGTGAGCACTCCTTGAAAAAGAAAGGAAATTCATCCCATCACAGTGGGCTCCTCCAACTTCCTAACAAGCAGAATGGAAAATGGTCCAGACAGACTCAGGACATAGGAGTTTGTGTTACCAATTCCTGGTCAAGTGCATCTCTAGGACCCACATCGTCTATCCACACAATGATCCTGGAAGCCAGAAAGCAGAAACCAAATCTCACACAGTCATTCTACTGTCTCTAGCACTTTTAGCTTAGTCCTGGAACCACACAGTAAATGATGGATTAAAAAAAAAAAGAACACAGGTTTTTTATTGCTGCCTTCTCTTAGTGTTTTAATCATGTGATTCTTTTTTTTAACACATGCATTGGTGGTGAGAATTTCTTGGGGACCGTATCCCAGATGATAAAGCATACACTGTATGAAAATGAAGCATAATTTATTTATTAAATAAATAAAATCAGTTTTGTGGGAAAAAAATCGGTTAGATAATTGTTATTGAACAAAAGCACAGGCAGTTTCCTTTCAAAGCTGTCATTTAGCTTATATAAGCACTGAGTCTAAAGGTGAAGATCCGTTACCCACTAGCCATATGTATTTCTTAACTGATATAAACCATTAGAATATGTCTTTTAAAGATTTATTTATTTATGCATACAGAACTGGGGTACAGACCAGATGTGTGTGTGGGGGGCGGTGAAAGGATTCATCAGAGGAAGAGTGGGGAGCAAAACAGGCAGGTCTACTCAAATACACTGTTGCGGGGAACAGTGGGCGGGTCAGGAGAGGTCTGCTGTGCCATGTGGGTCAGCTCCCTGCAGGAGGGATTGACCTCATGCTGTAGTGGCTGCGACAGCTTCACAGTGCTGTGCTAATCTGTTGCACCACCAGGAAGGGCTTAGCATCAGAATATTACAAAAAAAAAAAAAAACGAGAGAGTACAGGGTCCTGCCTGTTGGCACAAGGGGTTAAGTCTAAGCCCTATCAAGATCTCCACAGCCACTGCAGCATGAATTGGATAGCTGCCAGGGCGCTGACCCACATGAGGCAGCAGACCTCTCCCATCCTGTCCACCGCTCCCCTCAGCAGTGTATTTCAGTAGATCTGCCTGTTCTGCTCCCCACTCTCTCTCAGCTGAGTCATCTTACCCAGCCCCATACCTCTCTGGCTTGCACCTCAGTTCTCGTATGCATAAATAAATCTTTAAAAAAATAATAAACGGTATGCTTTGGAGTTAAGTAGAGTTCACCGGCCCAAGAACAAATCCCTGTTGATGACTGCTTTTAAAATTGTAATAAGGGCCCTCCCTGGTGGCGCAGCGGGTTGGAGCACAGCACTGAGAGGCTAAAGCCACTTCCGCATGAGTTCGATTCCCGCCAGCCCCGGAGGTGACCACATGGTGTGGCAGACCTCTCCTGACCCGCCCGCTGCTCCCCTCAGCAGTGTACTTCGTCGATCTGCCTGTTCTGCTCCCCACTCTGTCTCTGCTGAATCCTCTCACCCTCTGCATCTCTGGCCTATACCCCAGTTCTGTATGAATAAATAAATAAATCTTTTAAAAAAATTGTAATAAACAGTCCTGGGTACCTTAGTCTTACTCAAGTCCCTAAAAGAGGAAAGGTCTTATGAAGTCTCACCCACTAGAGAAGGGGGAGGGAGAGGAGAGGAGATGCTTTCACCAGGGTAGAGTTGAGCAGTTAACAGTCTCTGTGTCACTCTTAGAGCCCAGCTTCTGCTAGGTGGTTTCCCAGAGTTAATTTCTTCAGGGATGGTGCCATGGAGTGTGTGTGTGGGGGGGCGGGTGAGGGGGTGAGAGGTACTGCCTGCCTGGGAGGTGCTGCCCAGAAGGCTGGTTCTGCCCCTGGCTCTGCTGTTCAAGGAAGAGCTGGGAGCCAGGGTGCCAGGCTGGGAATGGTGGCAGCAGGCAATCTGAGCAGACACCCCAACTGAGAGCAAGTCATGGATGTGCTGTGCTCTGAGGTTTCAAATAAAAAATCTGCTAGACTTCCTGCGTCTCATTCCCAACACATTATTAGATCACTCCCTCTGTCTCTTCCCTCTGCTCCCCCGTGCTGACTCACCTGCACCCATGAACACCTCTTCCCACAAAGTTCCTGTGAACAGCCTCTGCTGGCACAGGTTCAGCCTGGCTCAGCGAAGGCGATCCCCGCCAGGGATCTGGATTTCGGGAGCTGGGAGCCAGGACAAGCAGGACCTGTGAGTCATGGCCACTCTGGCTTACAGAGCTTAATTCAGCTTTGGAGTGCTTGGGAGACCCCGATCCTACTTCCACTATCTTCTTGATCACCAGAGACCTCTGGTACAAAAGACCTAGGGGAAGCCAGCACCCTGACAGTTGCCACTGCTCCCTCTGCACATCCAGTGAGTCCCTCTAGTGTATCTGTGCCGGGTTTTCATGGCCCTGCAGGATACCCAGCAGCAGCTGTCTTGAGCACCCATGAAGGACGTCTCTAAGTCCCATGCTTCTGGGCCTTGAGAATGTGTTAGGGCTGCAGAACCCCAGCATTTTGGGAACCCAAACTTGGCACCCCTGGACTCTGTGTGCTTTGCAGAGATGCAAGTTGAGCAGCTGGTAGAGTACTTGTAATGGCTGGGAGCCCCCAGAGCAGTCCACCCCCAGAACCCAGATGGTCAGGTCAGCACCCAAAACCTGCAGGAGCTAGTATTACCCTCATAAGCCAGTTTCTCCACATCCCACAGGGTTACCTGGCAAAGGATATCCTTAATGTAACCACCACACAGCTCGCGGCCCCTCAGGTCAAAGTGGTCCATGATCCCCCAGTACCGAGCTGCGATTCGCCGGTCCTTGCGCTGGTCACAGCAGCCGAAGGACTCATAGTCTGTGCAAAACTTGAGATTCCTGGGGGGCTTGAAGGGGGGCGCATAATCCAAGCACTGGGGGTGTCCTTGCAACCAGCCTACCTGGCCCAACAAAAATAGGAGGTAGAGGCATAAAATGCCAGAAGGGAGCCAGGGGACCAGCCAGGTCAGAGCACCCCCAGGAGCAGATTTGCTGGCCATTCTCATCCTGGCTCTGGGACCAGCAGGCTGCCGCGTGGCGCAGGTTGGCTTCCTCACTGCACTGGTTCCCTCCCGCCTCCCTCCCCCGGTTCTTCTTCCTTCCTTCTCCTCCCCACAACCCCTAACCAAGTTCACAGAGGTGGTTTATGAGCAGTAACCCTCCTGCTGGCTGGGTGACTAAGTGTCTGTTGTGAGAGCAGTGAGGTGTCCCTGTCCCCTCATGCCTGTATAATCAAGAGGTTGGCACAGGCTTAACCTCACTGCTGAAGTATTAGGGTGCATGACTATTTAGCAAAAAAAGGTGCAATGGTTCATGGTAGATGTGCAATGTGGTTAAAACTGCAGGAATTCCTGCAAAGGAGGGGGCTCATGGGGAGAGGACCAGGAAATTCACATCTTGTTTAGTTTCTTCACAAGCTGAACAGCCCTAAGCCTTGCAGAAACACCAGGTACTGGTGTGTGAGGCAGGATTCAGGTGCCCTGTGCTTGAGTGGCTCCCCAGGACTCCACGTACATCTGGGGTGATGGAGTGGAAGCAGGAAGGCAGGGAGAGCTCTACGATTCCTGAGATCTGGAAGTGTGTCTTGGGAGTGGGGGGGGGGGAGAGAGGGAATTTCACGAATCTTGCATCTACAGCAAGGAGAGGATAGAGGTGGTGAGAGAAAAGGAACAAGGAGTCAGCAAGGCTATTGGGAAAATTTCATCAGGAAGCACAGAATGTTTTTTTCCCATTGATTCACCAAATATTTATTAAATATCCTCTTCCAGGCTCTGAGGATACACCCATGAGCCAGCAAAACAAAAAGTATTGTCTATGGGACTTACATTCTAGATCTAGCTACCTTAGGGTGTAGGATCAGCAATAAATTTATATAAATTCATAAGCCAGAAAGAGAAAGAAAAATACCGGATGGTTTCA